CCTTCACCCTGAGTGCCTTTGACTGGACCAGAGGGTCCAGGAGGCCAAGTTCACCCTTCTCAGGGGGACTGATCACGGTGTAGTAGGCCACCATGATACGCCCCCCCCCCCAGAGGAAGCTCATAACAGCCTTTCGCAGCCTGATGTAATATGTGTGGGGCAGGTACGACATGCTCAAGGTGTACCATAATACGAACAGTACCAGGGCATTCACTAGAAACGCTTTCTGCTGGAGCGAGAGGAGACGACCGCCGCACCTGGCAAGCCGCCACTCAACACCACCCGTTAGATCGTCGCACATCCTCACCGTCGCATCATCTGCGCTTCTCCCGAGCATCACGGCCAGGAGGCGACATCCCAAGCTCAGCGGGCAACAACCTGAACACGTTCAGCCCTTAGCACCACGCGGCAATACAGAGAGCAGGGGAAACACACGAAGGATGCAGCTCTTTACCCCCCATCATACCCCAAAAGACCCTCCCCAACAAGGTACTGTGTGTAGAAGCTGTGAGTGAATTTGCCCAGACACTCAGCCCCTCTACCCCACCCCATGGGCGCCTGTCTGCCGGCGTATTTGGGTGGGATGCAGGGGACCTCACTCTTGTGGCAGGTGAAGAGAGAGCAGCTCAGGCAGGAGGGTGTTACAGCTCCTTCTGATCTCCTGGTGGACAAGAGATTCAGTAAGAAGGAAGTGAGGCAGTACTGCTGCAGCCGGACGCGTGGCGAGGGGGCCACCATCCGCCTCACTGAACGGCTGCTGCGTGAACTGGAGCAGCTGAAGGGGAGAGACCTCAGGGGGGTGTCCCTGCTGGACCAGGTGCCCATGGAGCATATCTGATGGGTGCAGAAACGCCACGTCAGGTGCATCCAGGACGTGCCAGGTGTGCAGCTGTATACGGAGACGGGCACCATGACAGGCGGGCATCGTCCTGAAAAGGTACCGCCGTGCCAGAGGGTCCACATCCCTGGGGTCTTTTCACTGCCACCTGGACAGGTTCATTACAGGATGGTATTTCATATATATATGATATTTTCAATGATTTGTATGTTTTTAATGACAGCGTTATTCACATTGAAATGCAAGACATTCTTCAGTGACACAAATGTTTTGCTGTTTTACCAGGAGCCAGAGCAAATGCACTGAATTTCCAGTGATACCCCCTGGAAGGCCTGAGGAGGTGGAGCCGGGATCAGGGGACTGCAGTGGACTGCAGTGGTGACCAGCAAGTCATCCCCGTTCTGGGATCTGGCCCACTGTGCCACCAACAGTACACCAATAATAAAAAAATAAATGTTTCAGCAAATAATGAACAACTCAATTTATGGAAACTGTGGGATTCGAACCAGCAACCTCAGAATCAACTTTTCTCATATAAATGTATACAGCACTAGAAATATACATTTTTAAAAATAATCTATACAATGAGATTTAAAAATTTGGTGATAGAGGATTAGCACATAACAAACCCCTTTCTTCTCTTTTTCTCACCTTCTTCCCTTTTTATAAGGAATGTTGACCTTGTGCCACAAACATGGATTCAGTCTGCAGCAGCTTATTTAAACTTATCTGCCAAGCTAAAAAAAATGTAAGCATGTGCATTAAATTCAAAATAGTTTTGCGTTCATCAGGTCTCACCTGGTCCTCCATCTTTGTTGTCTTTACTCCTGAAACAGTGCCCCTCCCACAGCAGCACGCACACTGACCTCATCATTCTACCCTTTTGGCACCAAGTGAGTGTGAATGTAAGACGGTTTGTTGAGCTCCAGCATCAGCACCAGCTCCGGCAAGGGCTCAGTGTGAAAGCGATTAGTGATCCCCCCCCCAGGCTCAGTGTGAAAGCGATTAGTGATTCCTCCCCCCCCAAGCTTCCGATTAGAGGCATTTGCCTCACTTGCGAATGGAAAAAAAACATTTGATGCGGTTTTTCCAGATTGCAGGGAGTCTGCTCCATGATGTGGATGTCAGCTGGGGTCATTATAAAAGGCTTAACGTGACAATGCATTTTCCTCTCCATTGACTCCCATTATAAGGAAAAAGCTTAACGTGGCTTAATGTACTGAAATAGCAACCAATAGTCACCAATTTTCTCTCA